ACTTCCCTCCTAGTGAAATAGTTTTTCCTAATATCCAACCTGGACCTCTCCCACAGCAACTTGAGACCATTGCTCCTTGTTCTGCCATCTGTCACTACTGAGAACAGCCTCTCTCCATCCTCTTTGGAACCTCCCTTCTGGAAGTTGCAGGCTGCTATCAAATCCCCCCTAACTCTTCACTTCTGTAGACTGAACAGACCCAACTCCCTCAGCCTCTCCTCATAAGTCATATGCTCCAGCCCCCTAATCATTTTGGTTGCCCTCCGCTGGAAGAAGATGGGTAATGTCAGTACAGCAGCACCGAACATTCCAAGGAGCGGATATGGACTTGGACCACAGTCTAGTGATTGTAAACATCAAGATGAAACTTCAGAGAAAGTATAAGACACGGTTTACGAAACAAAGGCATGTGGCGAGACGAGGCAAGGAAGAAATAAGGAATGCATACGGAGCAGCACTCAAAGAGAAGATCAGGAATGTGGGCACAGAGAAAGACCTAGATAAGAGAGTTGAAGGGACAGCCATGGTGATTGAAGAGGCATTTGAGCAGACAGTTCCGGAAGAAGAGAAGATCAATAAGAAGTGAATTATGCAAGAGACACTGAAGTTGATCCAAGAGAAGAGAGCATTGAAGATCAGAAAGGATGTTTCCGAGAGGGTGGAACAGCAATATAGAGTGAAATGAAATGAGATAAGGAAAGCAGCCAGAATGGATAAGGCAAAATGGTTAGAGGAGCAGTGTGAAGATATAGAGAGGTATTATAGCGAGTGTAAGACCAGGGAGGTGTATAAGATGATTAGGAATATTAATAGGAAATGACAGACGAAGCAGATGGCAATCAAAGACGAGAATGACAAGATGCTCATGAACAAGGAGAAGGTTGTGCAGCGATGGACGAGATATCCATCACACACAGTTGGACCCGAGTGTCTCAGAGAGACTGAATGAAGAACTGAAAGAGATCTCACCACCGAGTATTGAGAGCGAGACTAATATTTTGAAGGAGGAAGTAGAAAGAGCAGTGAAACAACTAAAGAACAACAAGAGCCCTGGAAATGATAAGATCACAGGAGAGAAGATCAAATACAGTGGAGAAAGTATGATTCAGGAAATATACTGACTATGTAATATAGCATGGAAAGAAGGGAAGGCACCTAATGAATGGACAAGATCTGTGCTAGTGACTATACACAAGAAAGGAAATGTGTTAGAGTGCAAGAACTACAGAACGATTGCCCTAACGAGTCATCTAGGCAAGATGATGATACTGACAGAGAGATTGAGATCGCAGATAGAAGAACATCTAGCGGATGAGCAAGTGGAATTCAGGAAAGATAGAAATACCATACAGCAGATATTGGCACTAAGATTGATAGCAGAGAAAGCTCGATGAAAGAACAAGAATATCTACAATTCCTTCTTCGATTTTCAGAAGGCATTTGACAGTATAGATCAGAAAGTGACTTGGGCTGTTTTGGAGTCACGGACTGATTATGAATATTGATAAAACGAAGACATTGTTATCTGGAGATAAGGAAATAGGAAGGAAGATCAGTATAGATGGGATCAAACTAGAGAACATAGAGAAGTTCACGTATTTGGGGAGCAACATGACATATGATCTAGACTATAAGACGGAAATAGTGACTAGAATAGCAAAAGCAAGAACGAGTTTGAAAGCAATGAATAAGATCTGGAAAAGCAAAGCGATTAGCTTAGGAACAAAGCTAAGTGTCTTGAAAATGTGTGTGTTCAGCAGCATGTTGTACGGATGTGAATCATGGGTGATAACGAAAGATTCAAAGAGAAGGATATTGGAATTTGAGAGGAGCTGTTATAGAAAGATCCTAAGAGTAGGATGGATGCAGAAGGTCACCAACGAGGAATTATATAGGAAGATATAGCCAAAGAGAACCTACTGCAGAAGGTTATACAGTGGAAGCTACAGCTATTCAGGCATATCTGCAGAATGAATGATGAGTGAAAAGTCAAGACATAATGGATGGTTCGAATAGGAGAGGCAGACCCCACAGAGAATGGGTAGATGATATAGTAGATTGGGGCGGAGCTAGTCTACAGAAACTAAGTCACTCCGCACTGGACAGGGAAAGATGAAAGGAAATAGTGAGGGAGGCAATGGACATCAACGGGTGTTGAGCCTATGGTTGTTGATGATGATGGTGAAGTGTGTTTGCAGTACTAGGGCCTGAAGAAGCAGTGTGGCTGAAGGGGGGTGAGGGATGGAGAGGAGCATGTACAACAAATGGGGCAGGAGGTAAAGAAGAAAGAAGGGATGATGGTGGAGGTGAGTTTGCTGAGGGCCCTGACGGTGAGAATGAAGAGCTGGAATTATTGAATGAAGTACAGTACAGGAAGCCAAGGAAGGGTTTGGGTAGTGTTAGCTGACTTCCTCAGCTGATATGTAGCCTGCACTCTTCATTCCTGTCTTCTTTTCTCCTTGCCTAACTAAGGCCATGAATAGCAACTCTCTCTGCTACCCCTGAAGGATAATTTATGGGCTCAGCAGTTTGGTCCTCACACAAAAACATTAAAAATAATCCTAATATGTAGGTTAGTGTTTGCAACTTGCAAACATGCACCCTGAGACTGTTCTTAAAACCACAGATTGGGCACTGGGTTTTGCAGATTCAGAAGCATACGGAATTAGATGGCTGTCACTGGCAGATAACATTCTTTGCTTCATCTCTGTGTATTCTGCCTTTTGTGCAAATCACTGGGGTATGACTTACATGGCTCACACCGGGAAATATTTTTGGCAGTGCTAAATGGCTCTATTTGTTGAAAGTGATACATAAAAGATGCAAGACGAGTGCCACTGCTTATATTTCTTTTAATACTACATTGGTATCCAAAGGGGGTATTGAGGTGACAACATAATTTCATAATTTTGGCTTTTATGATGAGTTGAACTAATTTGTTCAGCTTGTTATTGTGCGCAAATAGACCATGCAGTTTTACTTCTGATGGTGTGACATAATGGCTCAGGACACTGGAAATGAGATATGGAGCCTTGCACTTCTGTGTGGCAAAAATCTAACCTATATTGGCTGTAACTAGAAAGTCAGCTGTTTGGCCCTTGAAAAGGGAGTTGAGGCAGTGTGCATATCCGTTCTCTAGAAAAGGAGATACTAAAAATATTATAATAATTAGAAGACTTACCTTCATTGCCCAGGCCTCCCACTGGCTTCTCTCTGGGGCCAGCTCGGGACAGAGGGGGACCATGCAGCCTGCCTGCTGGCTTCTCCCAGGGGCCAGCCAAGGGCATAGGGGTGCACCACCCTCACACCAGCTTCTCCCCAGGGCCGGCCATGGACAGTCCGCACTGTCCACGCGCTGGCTTCTCCTGGGGCCAGAACAAAGTGGTGGAGGCCATGCAGCCTGGTGGGCGACTGCTCCCTGCAGGCAGCCCAGGGTGGTGGGGGTCGTGTTGCCAGCCAGCAGCTGCTCCCCAGGGCTGGAGCACTTGCTGCCCTGCTGTGGTCATTTGTGAGTGTAACTGTCCCTGCTATCACATCCCTCCCTTTCCATTTGATGTGAAACAGTCACTTTCTATGCATATCCCATAGTCCTGGGATAACCAAGCCCTGACCTTGCTTTAAGTTATGATATGTTCAAAGAGCTCCTCTTAAAGGGTAAGACCTAGGACAGGGTGGGCAAAAGGTCCTCCATGGGCTGGATGCGGTCCACTAAGCGCGTGGATCCGGTCTGTGGAGGCCCTAAGGCCAATCAGGGCCTGGGGGTGGGGGAGCTGCGTGAAGCTTCCTTCACCCTGCTTGGGCCCTGTGAGGAGCACGCTTCCCTGCTCCCAGCTCTGATTGGCCTGGGGGTGAGGGAGCATGCCAAGCCTCTTCCAGAGCATGAGTACCTAATGGGAAGGGGGGCAAAAGGGTCCCCTCACCCCCAGACCAGTCATGGTCTGGGGTGGGGTAGATTGGTCTGGGGGTGGGGTAGCCCCACCCTTTCCCATTTAAGCTCCACCCCTTCCTATTTAGGCTCTGCCCCTTCCGGGGTGGCCCGGGGCTACTTCAAAAATTTTTGAAGTGGCCCCCCGGCAAAAATTATTGTCCACCCCAACGTAGGATCACCAAATTTAGTATGCAGCTTCCTTTTATCATAACAAAGGAATGTGATTGTTTTGCATCAAACAGAAAGGGAGGGGTGTGATAGAAGGGACAGTTATACTCATGAGTGAAAACAGGGGGCAGCAAGAGCCACAGCCCCATGGAGCATCTCATGGCCCTGGGTAACCATGTTGTGGGCCCCTCTCCCCACTACCTCTCAGGCCAGCCCTGGGGAGAAGTCTATGCAGGTCCTTCCCTCCCACCCCAAGCTGGCCCCACGGAGAAGTTAGTAGATGGGCCACATGACCTCCACTGCGCCTGGGCCAGCCCCAGCCCCAGGCAACACCAGGTAAGTCTTCTAGCCTCCATTATAAAATAGATTCCAAGGCCAGAAGGAACCACTGTAATCATGTGTTTGACCTCCTGTATAGCCCAAAATAATTCTTAGAGTAGAGGTCCTGCCTATGTCACAATCACTGGATGACAGGCCTATAGGTTAGATAGTTATGTGTGTAGACTGCTGCTTTTAAATTCTTTTGTTTCCATGTTCTTTTTTTTTACTGTGAGAATAAGGAATACTGTGCTTTGAAGAAGGCTGTTTGGACACTGTATTTACCAATGGTTACAGACTCCTCAAGGGAAGGACTACAGATGCCGGACCCAGTAGCTCAACTATGTAAGCATGGTTGATAGACAGGGTGTCAAGGTCCCGAGCTTTGGCTAAGAGTGGGAGAACTGTGACCTGACATTCCCATCCAGGAGAAGTAAAGGACTGAGTCTGGACGCCTGAAGGCATGTGCTCAAAGAACAGACAGGACCGAAGGCAGCTACTCCTGCAACTGTGGCAGAGCGTTGCAATTCCTTTTACCTTGGTCAGTGCAGTTATAATGGGTTTTGTATTTTCTGCATTTTTTCAGACTCTGTGGTTTGACCTGCACCAGAGACTGTCAGACAGCGAAAGCACAGCTTGCACAGTGAGTATGCACACATGGGCTCTGTCCCTATGAAGATGAAAGCCTGTGTTTGCATATGCAAACGTGAATGCATACATTTCCCCACAGCCAGGCTCACAATCCCTTTTGGTTCATTTTCTGCAGACAAATATTATATGTGCTGTGGCAATGCCTAGTGGTTCCCAATGGGATCTGCATGCCACTGTGGTAAGTGCTGTACAAACACACAGTAAGAAGCATCTAATTCCAAACTGAAAAGAACTTGAACAAGCCTTTCTCCTTTGAAGTGTGTCCAGGATGTGAATGACACTGCTACTACTGGTTTACACCCCTGTGCACAGAAAAATGACATTGAAGATGATTTTTCTCCTTATCTTTCTTTCCTCATAATTACAAGTGGAGCCCAGAATCCAATTATCCCTTAATGGCAGGCAGTCCTTCATATGGATTTGAAAAGGCCTTTCTCCTTCCCCGGAGGCTCTTGCACTCGTTTTTCTATTGTCAGAAGAGTTTGATGTAAGTAGGAGGGTGCATTGATCACAGTTATACTAATTAAAACAGAAATATGAAGTGGAAACTGCCTCTCTCTCAGCTGTTTCTTGGAATCCCATAAGCCCTCAGAATAGATCTATTGTACTTGCTATCTTAGCCATGATTTTAAAAGCAGGCTCTGTCTTAGAGGCATTTTGAATGCACCATCCATATCAGTGTCCCTGTAGCTGGGGACAGAATGACACAGAAATTAATTTTATTTTTTGTTATATGGTTAGTTTATCATCCAGATTCATATTTCTAAGGGAATAAATATTAAATTAAATTGACAGCCATCTTTGTTAGCTCCACATTTGAAATCCCAACCCATATTTTACTCTTATTTTATATTGGTATTACAGCAGAACTTTTGGGGCAGAAAATAAATTTTGTTCTGTATTTGTATTGCACTTAGCATAGCGGCATCCTGGACCACAACTGGAGCATCAAGTGATAATAGGAACTTGGGGCTTGTCTACACCAAGGATTGATTGCAATAACTATTGCAGAATAGATTCTTGCATGAGTGCTATGGGTGTTAGATAGTGGGTAATAGAACAGTTGACTAACTGCATGAATTCTTAGTGGTTAGTCAACTATTCTATAGTCCCCCGGGGCAGGGCTGGCAACCAGTGCAATCCAGCTCGACCCCCAGGGAGCCCTCTGCCACCCCACGCAGGTGCCTCTGTATCAAAGGCAGCAGCATGGGGGTGCTTTTAAACCGACTCCCCCCAGCACCGGCTCCTTCTTCCCCCCATTGCTGCCTCTAATACAGAGGCAGAAAGTAGGGAGGAAATGCAAGTAGTGGAGAAGATTAACCAACAAGCCTAGGTTTATCGGTTAATTGTCTACTTGACTACTCGTTCAGATCACTAATGGGAACTCTTATTCTTGAAAATACATCCATGTGGGAAGTAATTCCAGAATAGCCATAAGCATTTTAAATTTAAACCCTTACCTTTTTCCAAAATAGCTCCTCTCTGAAGACAAGCCCTTGTTACCCTGAGGACAAGGGCAGACTGTTACAGCAATTACAATGAACGTAAAATTCCCTCAGATGAAGATGTGCTAATTAATGAGGTCTCAGACCTGAAGGTTGCATGCAACTAACTGGAACTGAAGTGGCATTTCAAAGAAACTAATGCATTAAAAACTATTATGTGTTGATGTGTTTTACATAGGAGCTGTTAATATTGCTGGGGTAATGCCTGACAGTCTTTGGACCCCCAGTCTTGTTTACAGAACATTATAAAGCAATGCATTGAGGTTGTAAGTGTGAAACAATTGCAGTGAGCTATTTAGGAGAAAAGGGAGCAGTCCAAGAGCAGAGTCATAATAAAACACAGGTTAAAATAATCAACGTGACACTGAGTCAGTTGGGGTATGTCTACACTACAGCACTAATTCGAACTAACTTAATTCGAATTAGTTAATTCAAACTAAGCTAATTCGAATTAGTGCATCTAGACCTAAAAACTAATTCGAATTAGCGTTTTGCTAATTCGAACTAACATGTCCACAGTGAGTGGACCCCGAACCGAAGTTAAGGCTGGCTGGAACCAGTGCCAGCAGGGCATCAGGTTAGGACTTAGAGTATGGAATTGCTGCCTCAGGCTAGCCGCGGGGCTGTGCTTAAAGGGACCCGACCCCCACCCCGGACAGACAGTTCTCAGGGTTCCCCGCTTGCTTGTCCACTTCGATGAGGGACAGCAAAGCAGTCCTGTCTTGGAGTGTCCTGAGTGCCCTCACTCGGCACATCAGAGCACTCAGCCATCAACCCAGCTGCACTTGCGGCAGGCTGCCATCCGGGGGGGGGGGTCAATCGGGGGGCTGTCAGGATCCAGGAGGCCCTACAGGAGAGTTTCCACCCTGAGGAGCCCGCAGAGCCACCCCAGTCCTCCCCATCGGGGGCTTGTGCCCCATTCCTCCCTCACCTCCTTCCATTTACCCCTCCCTAGCCCCCCTTCCTGATGTAAAAAATAAAGGACACGTGTGTTCAAAAAGAGAAACTCTCTTTATTTAACAAAACTAGGAGGGGGGGGGATTAACCTCTGGGGAGACTGGGAAAAGGAAGTGGGAGAGGAGAAGAGAGAAGGTGGGAGACAGGAGGGGGAAGCCTGGGAGGAGGGAGCTGGAAGGGGGAAGCCAGGGGAAGTATAAAACTATGATACGCTATATCTTCAGTACAGTGTACAGACATGGTCTCCTCACCTCAAAAAAGATATTTTGGCCTTGGAAAGGGTTCAGAAAAGGGAAACTAAAATGATTAGGGGTTTGGAACAGGTCCAATATGAAGAGAGGCTAAAGAGACTGGGACATTTCAGCTTAGAAAAAAGGAGACTGAGGGGGGATCATTAGAGATATATAAAATCATGAGTGGTGTGGAGAGGGTGCATAAAGAAAAGTTCTTCAATAGTTCCCATAATATAAGGACTAGAGATCACCAAATGCAATGAATGGGTAGCAGGATTCAAACTAATAAAAGAAAGTTCTTCTTCACAAAGCAAATAGTCAACCTGTGGAACTCCTTGTTGCAGGATGCTGTGAAGGCCAGAACTAGAACGGGGGGTAGAAATGGTTTCCCTAGCCTCTGTTTGTGGAAGGCTGGAGATGGATGGCACAAGACAAATGGCTTGGTCATTGTCTTCGGTCCATCCCCTCTGGGGTAGCTGGTGTTGGCCGCTGTCGGCAGACAGGCTACTGGGCTAGATGGACCTTTGGTCTGACCCAGTATCGCCATTCTTATGTTCTAAGCTCAGGGCTCAGGGCCGGGGGTCCCACTGAACCAACTTGATTTTCATGCAGACCTACTCCAGGGTTTGAATGTGGCCTTTGGTGGCCAGGCTGGCAGCTATCCTGCCCTAGACAGCCACTTTCCTGTGCCTAATGCAGAGATTGTGGACGTTGGAGGCCTCCCCCCCAAACCTGGATGAAGTCCACGATCTCCGCACTAGACCACGATCTCCGCACCCGCCTCTTGCAGCCCCAGGCAGGTTCCTGGGAGCTGTCAGCCTGGTCCTGGGAAGAGGCGGAAGGCTGGGTGGCAGCGGGTGGCTGGCTCATGCCGTGCCAGGTGCAGGGTCTGCTGGCTGGGTGCTGGCAGGCTTGCACCTGGCACGGGCACCGTAGCCAGACTGTGGCCTTTTAAGGGCTCCGGGGCCGGGAGGGGGGCAGAAGAGTTTCCCTGGCTTGGCCCAGAGTGGCCACCAGGGCAACCTGAGAAGGGCTAGCCTCCAACTAGTTCGAATTAAGTGGCTACACAGCCCTTAATTCGAACTATTTAATTCGAACTAGGCGTTAGTCCTCCTAGAATGAGGTTTACCTACTTCGAATTAAGCGCTCCGCTAGTTCGAATGAAGTTCGAACTAGTGGTTTGCCTGTGTAGCGCCTATGAAAGTTAATTTGAACTAACGGCTGTTAGTTCGAATTAACTTTGTAGTGTAGACATACCCTAAGTCACATTGCTGAATGAATCTTGGAACACTGGTCATTTTGTGTCCATGGTGGTTATTTTGTGGCAATAGGGTGACAAAAGTGTCACACAACAACCAGCAGAATACAGGAATGTCAGAAAGGCACTTCGCTCAGGAAGAAAAAGAGAGCGCCTCAGGCTACGGCAAAGCACTGCTATTGGATCTGGAAGTTTTCCAAAGGGGCTTGTCATAAAGGACATTGGCACTGCATGACCCAGATGAATGGAGACAGGCATAGACGTGACCTAGTGATGTTCCCTATTGGACTGAAACAATCCCCAGTGGATAGAGAAGTGGAAATGTAAAAGCAGGAGGAAACACCTGCCTCCCTGAAGCAAAGCTGAGTCCCTGACGTCCTCAGAAAAACACCTTGGGTCTTTGTTCCCAAAAGGACACCCATACAGGGAAGCCACACAGCAGCTTTGTGTATGCTGGACTTGACTTCCCTCATTTTGAAGGATTCAGAAATCCTTCTCCAGGCAAGCCAGCAGGTGATTTTCCTTGGTGACCGTTCACACTTAAACCTCCTGCAGCTGGCACCAGTGAATGCCCATCACATGTAATTTGACCATTGGGTCATTAGACACTGGGCACAGAATAATGAGCCAATGTGTCTTCACCCAGTTTTCTGGAAATATCTGCACTTTGGGATTTTGGCTGAAGGCTTGAAATGCTGGGTACCGAGGATGCTGTATTGCTGCAGGAGAATCAGCAGCATCTGATCCTGCATTAAATGAACACAGCATTAATTATGGGGCTGCCACGTTAACCAACAAACCTGCCTCTGCCAAAGCAGCAGAGGAGCAATCATCTCTTAGTTGGTTGGCTGTAGTTCCCATCTGGAAATGTACAAATTATCAAACTACATTATGACCAGTTAATATGAGCATAGGGAGCTGAAGCAGAAACTGAGAGGTTCTAATTCCCATTCTGGCACAGTCTTGCCTGTGTCTTTGGTCACTTCAGTTATGTCTGCACTTCAGTTATGTTATAGCTACTCCACGTCTTTTGAGTGTG